GCAGAAAAAGACGATCAGGACAAAAACATCTATATTAGGCACCAAAAAAAAAACACACACACACACACACAAAAAAAGCCAAATTAAACTAGACTACACACCCCGTGATGAAGTGTAAAAACCTGCCATATTATCCACTAGCATAGATCCTCTATTAGTCAGGAGCTTATGTATCAAGTCTTGATCACAGGAATAATGAAAAAGGAATTTACTGTAGATTAAAATAAATATGGAAGCTAACAGTACAGGGAGATATTGAATGCTGTGAAAGATAGAAGAAAATCCTGGACGCAGCCAAAAAGTATCACAAGCAGAAATAGAAGCAGAAATTGAACTGGTTTACTCTAGAAAGCTCTCCTCCAGACACTTCAATTGCTTACTAGATACTTGTGACAAGAAGAAAAAACTACCACTGTATGAACAACTAAGCATAATAGGAATTTCCACCCATAATTAGATATCCTAGATCATATCACAAAAAGTAGAAAGTCCACAGAAAGAAGTCAAAAGATGGACTGAAGAAAGGAACATAAAAGTAAATTGCACAAAGAGGAGGAAGAGTCTGATTTGTCAACCTCAATTTACACCACCAATTGCTCAATAATAAAAAACCTAAAGCAGACCAATGCACATATTGCTCCAAAAAGCATAAAATGGAACATATGCCACATTATATAAAAAGATTCCAACCTGTTGTTCTAACTGGCGGGTCCGCTCTTCAAGTCTTCGTATGGTTGCCTGTTGGTTTTTCAGATGAGTTGCCTCTGTGCGGAATTCCTCAAGCTCAACCTTCATCTTTCGGTTCTCTGATTCTAGTTCAGACAGCTTTGAGTCTTTCTCCTGCAGAATGATCACAACAATCACTAATCCATTAGAAAATGAGTCTTTGAAGACTGCTAGGTTATGACACAAGCTCATCATCAGTTCCATCGGTTCCACAGTCATGCAAAGACCTCATCAATTCTATGAAGGATATAGTATGCAGTAGCTTTTGTTTCCTGGTGCTTCTAATACAAATAACATACATTGAGATGAAATAGAACTTTCATGGTACATGATTCTAATTAGCTAAAAGGAAGAACAGCTTAACTTTGTTAAAGTATGCAGCAGAGCTTTGGTGTACAAAGCTTGTATCCCAACTTCTAGAAGTTAATTAGGAAGCTAATTTTAGTCCTTTTACTAGTAAACTTCCATATTGATTGGATAAGTGTTCAAAAGTTACTAATCTTGCAGACAAAGAAAGCTTTCAAAAATCACATCTTTTACGAAGCCTTCTGTGAGAATATTAAGGTATTTCATGCACTCTACGATGTCCATATGATTTCCATGACAGCTGTTGAAAAGGTGTAGTAGTTATCAGGAGTTAAATTTCTTGCACCGTAAATCCAACTGCTATTTTGGCGGCTTATCTATTACTCTGCCATAGGGAAGCCAGCGAAGTAAGAAAAATAATAAGATATGAAGCATGAATTTTATGCAACATAATCATGAGATCGTTATTCCGTCTCTCATTATCCGCAAGGCACACAAATTTGACAAACTGATTTTAATTTCAAATTCTACGTTCTTTTCCATGTTGAGAGACAATCAAGTATCTTCTGCACTCAACTTCAAAGACAAATGGACTTCAGCTACATGGGAAAGCAGAATGATACTTCACAAAATCTCAAGGAAAAAGACAAACAAGGAAAAGTGAACAGACAACTTGTACTTACTGCTATTGAAGCAAGAACTGGATAAGGATCTGGTGCTTCATAAAGCTTCTGATAAATGTTAAGAAATGAATTTTCTCCAAATTTCGCCCTCTTGGTAAGATTATCAACTTCTTCTTGATATCCCTTGAGTAAAGAGTTAAACAAACTCAACTTTTCTTCATTTGAAGCTTTCTTGAAGTCTGTCAACAGTATATGAAGAGAATTTCAGAAAAGGTCATCAAAAAAGATATATTAGCAGCACCAACAATTTACACCGATCAAGCGATAGGAGCAAGGATCTCCTACCATTCACATAAGTTAAAACTGAACATCAGGGACTACAATAGTGACCTGGCAAGTATAATACCTCTAGTACTCTCAGCGAGCTTTCGACGATTTTTCTGACTGTTCTCCTGATTCTCAGCAATCCTAAGCCCTTGTTCATCCAGAATGGCTCGTTCTTTCTCCAGATCAAAATCTGCATGATCAAATGATTTATAAGTGTAAAGTTTTTCCAATCAACCCAGCCAATACAGATCCATAAAAGTGAATCTTTACTTCAAATTCAAATACAAACATCCAAATCTTTTTAACTCTGTAATTTCACATGCAAGGAACTAGAAACATTTTTTTCATTCATACATTAACCATGGAGTGTCTGAAATAGGAAAATATGACATATCAAGTGAGGCAAGAAAATAGCAACACCAATGAAGCAGAACATATTGTCCGATACTACCTCATTAGGTTGTAAGGTAAAAAAAGTGGCTAGGCATGTTTAACAAAATTCTTGCAAATATTTCCTTATTCTCTAATTAAATTCCTACCAATTAGAGCAAAACTAAGTTAAAGCACAAATCTTTCATACACCAAAAATGTAAAGATTATTTTACATGGGATGGTATACATGTATGTCACATTTAACAGGAGATTTAACACAAATTTTCACACTCTAAGAGCATAAAAGACTACCCCATTGCTAAGTTCCTGCTGGTGACACTTCATCATCTTCTGAAACTAATAATGCAGAGAGGTATTACCCAACATAGCAGACACATGCCACATACTTTGCTTACTGAACTAGATCCAGAAATACAAAACACAAAACTTACACGCGGCTCAAACCAAATACTAGCTAATAATGAAGCACATGCTTGCTCCTTTATCAAGGCACTGTTGATACTAGCTTGATTCGCCTCCGCTAACTTGTCCAATTTCCAATGATACTCAATCATTTCAAACTTATACCTAGGAGTTAAATTTCTAACTGAAAAATCCCCCAGGTTTGAATAGAACTTATTCCAATAAGAAAAACTACAGGATTTAACTAACATTACCAATCTATTCTCGAACTAATATCCAAACTCACACAAATCTTAAAACTCAGTGAATGATAACAAAATTCACTAAAAAAAATGATATCCCAAAATTCTGATTAAATCAACTATACAAGTAATTGCATTTAACTAAAAACAAGAGCTGCTAAGAAAAGAGGATTATATAGTACTCCTGCATTAGAATGTTGTACCTTTCCAGAAGCTGGCGACAGCGGGAACGGGAGCCGAAGAAGCCGAGTTGGATTTCTCTCTCTCCGTTCCACCTTGCGTGGTTTCCATTGCTGATCCGCCTCAAAGCTAAGCTGTTTGCTCCAATTAATATCTGACTCTCTCTATATAATTAGATTTTCAGGGATGATTTTTTCCCCTTTTTCAGTGTATAATATAAGGATTTTGCGTGAAATTTTGAGTCTTCAATTGGAGAGAGTAAATATTTGAAGAAGAGTTAACCAGATTTAGTTTGAAGAGCAGAAATCCGTCTGATTAGTTTGGCTATTAAGATCTCGAGTTCTGATGATATAAATGAGATGGTGAGTTTTGTTTCTTCAGAATTAATCTTCCTCTTTGCTAACCGGCAAGAGAGGAACTGGACCTTCGTGGTGGGGAAAGTGAGATTGGGGCCATTGGGCCAACCACAAGGTGGATGGGCTTCCTGTTGCCCGGGTTCCAATTGTCAGCCTTTTATCCAACTTTTTTTTTTTTTTTTTTTGCTTTTTTGTGAATTATAAATACTTTGCAATAATTTTTTTCCTCAATTAAAAAAATGTTCATATTCTAATTTCCTTTCACTTTGAGTCCTTCATCGCTGTGGTTTAAGCATTGGGATATAAGGTTTAAATCCCCCAATGAGTTTAATTAGTAAAATTAAAAAGGTCTTTGAGAATCAAATATCAATTGATGAGGGGTGACGGATTTTTGTTTTTTGCCTTAAAATTGATCAAAGGCAATATATCTTTATTCACCGTCAGACTCCTTGCTTTCCTCTTTCTCAGTCTTTGAACAATAATGTAAAATAGCGTTTGCATTTCTCCATCTTGATGACAACTTTCTTGATTTCTTTTCCTTTTTAAAAATTATGTAATGTTGCCTTTGTATTTCTGCATTTTGTTGACAAATTTCTTGATTTTTTTTTGGTTTAGTTTATGCCTCACATTATTGCCCAATTGATTGAGTTGCACTAGCTGGCTTAAATTAAATGGAAATGCATTGGGGTTTAGCAAAAAACAAATGGGTCTAAATGGGAAAATGTTTTGAGTAAATCTTATATACACTGATAGTGTATACACAATCACGGTTGGATGCACGACACATATGTAAAATTTGGTTTTCAAATTCAAATTCAAATTATATGTCATACATCCAATAATGCAAGTGTATACACTGTCAGTGTATAGAAAATTAATTTAATGTTTTTTTCACCCAATTTTTCTCATTTGGCTAAAGAGTTTCTCATCTCGTTTAATATTTAAATTTTGTCGTCTTCATTTTTTTTTAACCCAGTTTAGTTGTTAGATTTTGCAATTGAATAGGCACGAAAAGACTCAACGTTAATAGCGTAATGATGAACCAAAATGTAAATTGTAAAGTTCAGTGGATTTATTTTCAGTTTTTTTGTGTACGATTAAAATACGTAACATGGCATCATCTACAATTTTTATTTTCAAATATAATTTCATAACCCCATTTACGTTAATCTAGTGATCCTCAAATTTTAAGATTAAAATGTGATGGATTTTATGCTTAGTAAAGTAGTGTACAGAGTTGAAGCTTAAGAACTAAAGTGAGATATGAATTTCAAGAAAATTTAGACAACAAAGCCATAATCTTTAGGGTATTCCTTACTCAAAGTGAGTAAACTAAAGATCATGCAAGCAAAAGAATTTGGACTGAGATTTGTTGAAGCTAATTAAAGCGAACATACTTCAATATAACATTCTTTCTTTTTCTTGATAAACAAATGGATATAAATACAATCAAAGCACAGTCAAAACACAAACTAGTAATGAACGAGAAAGCAATCGTGTTAATGCAATTGCTAGAATCCTTGATGGTAATCATACTAGTTAAGCACACAAAAGCAGAAGGATCCCGTGCTTGAAGGCCTGAAAGCTGGCTAACGATACATCCCGGCTTCAAAAGTTGGGGGCACAGTTGTCCTGACCGCGAGTTGGTTCCATCTCTCAACATTTGCTATCCATCCTTCATATTTGTTAATCAACAACATAAATTACATAAAGAAATCGCTCCGTATACTTTTATATAAAAAATAATAATAATGTCGGGAGAATCATTCCTGAAAAAAAGGTAGGACAGTGCTCGACTCTAAATTAGTCGGAACATAATCCAGCCACAAAATATCGAAGGATTTAAACCAAGAAAGAAAAAAAAAAAACAGCTATATATAGGAGTGTTATGATCGAACGAAAGACAATCTTGATCATATATATATATAGGTTGGACTTTAATCTGAAGAATGTATAATTCAATTGTTAATTCAGTCTATAATATCAGAGACTAGATAGTGTGGTAAGGATGATGATGTATGGGTTGTATACCGTGGGAAGGGTCGAGGCCGCGATTCTTGAGCTCTCTATATTCTTGGCAGACAGCACAAGGGAGGCAGAAGCAGTGAACAAGGCAATCGTTGCAAGGGTCTTCGGAGAGATTGAAGTAAGCCCTTAGTTTGGTACGATAGGTGCATGAGTAACATGATGCGCACCCAACATGCGCCAGGCAGTAGTATATGATCCCAGCTTGAGCACAGGCTGCCCGTAATTAAGCCCCCACAGGCACGTCGTAAGTGAAAATAAGGATCAGAAAACTGATCAATAATAGTACAATCGGGGAACATTACCCTATCCTATATATGGCTAAATTACATCCAGAAATTAATACCTCTGAATAATGTGTTGTTAACAGTTAAAAAGATTACTCTTTCTTTTACTGACAGTGTCAGTGTATACACTGTCAGTACTGGATGAATAACAATTATATAAAATTTGAATTTGAACTTCAACTTTTACACATGTGTCATGGATTCAACGGTGATAGTGTATACACTGTCAGTAGTTAAATCTTTCAATCTCATTGATTTTTACAAAAAAGTGAGATGATAAATAAACTCTAGGGATGTTCAAGAACTTACATGTGGTTCCCTTGTCAATTATTTCGACATTCCTACCGAAAGTGATGCAGGGACAGCAACAGGTCACGCAGCCTACGAACAAATCATACAACGGTTAAACAACATTTGAAGCTCACAAATATACTGTATTGTAGGTTTAGAACTTGTATCTTCGAGGGAATATTGATGATTGGGCTTACAATTGGAGGTATCTTCAAAGCAACCACATAAACCAGTTGACCACGGCCCGAGTGCACTAAATACGGCAGCCACCGGAGCTGCATGCGCAGGCTGCTGCCCCATGTTCACGGCGGATTTTCCATTGCTCTCAATGTTATTCGCAGACATTGCTCGCAGCCTCGCGCTTGATTGATTCCCAGAGGAACTGTAGAAAATTAGGTTGAGTTGAGACGAAGGTTAAAAGAGCCCTTGACCAAAAATATGAAGGGACATTAATTAGGAGTGTTGATCACAAGGGCAAGTAAGATAAGGTGATTATATAAACAGCAGCTAAGCTCAAACATCAACGTTTTGAACTGATTAGAACGTTAATCTTGGACTGGTGGAGGTTCATGTGATATGCAAATACAATTAAGAATTGTAGATCGTGCTTGAGAGATGATCTTTCTTTTTTTTCTTAAAAAAAAAAAGTAAGAGAGATTGTCCTGTCATTTTATAAATTCTTCCATATCATTGTGGAGTTCATTAATCAATTTGCATGGATGATATTGGTTGTCTACCATAACCAAGTTGAGTTTGAACAAGTCCAATGAACTTAAATGGGAAACATATTTTCTTGGTCAATGGAACATTTTTGGGGTCAATCGGCTAAAGAGATTATACAAATTTGCTCCATTACCAAGATATAAATAATAAAGGAAGCCTGAGAATTAGATACATGGAAGGCATCGATATGCTCCCAATTCAAAGTTGCCAAAGATGCTTTCCTACTTAACATCGCCATGCAAAATTTCAATTTTAGAAAAGCTTTGAGACAAGACGACATCAGAGTTTCAAATTTTGCGACAAAAGAGTCCATAAAATCTGCCACTTCTGCATTTTGTTTGCAATCCTTGTTTCTCTCTGGTTAAATTTAAGGTATCAAAATGCGAAGCTTGCAAAATTTCTTCTCTCCACAATTTGAAGTTGCAAGAGCAATAGTCTTTGAGTCGTCTATACATGTAGGCCCTGATTGAACCTTTTTTACACCAGATTTCGGCGAGTAAAAGTAAGTGAAAGAAACATGCAAGAATTTATCATAACAGAACCATGGAATGAAAATGCACCTGGGTATATATAGGTTTTTACTTGGAAACCAATTAAGGAAAAATATTTTGATTAATTTTTGATAACTTGCTGCATCTTGTATAGATACAGAAAGATTACAGAGCATAGGAATTTCATTTTTGGTTTGGTTGCCAAAAAATAAAAAAGAAAGAACTAAACTGCATCCAAGTTCCAATAAAGACAGTGAGTGAAAAGAAAGTCTTTCGGTTGCTTCTGCACGATATACAGGAGCATGAAACGAGGCAGAAGAACTGAAGAAGTAAGGGTTGTCACTAAGCTGGAAGCTGCGTGGAAGAACATGGATGATTGGATGGAGTGAGTGAAAATATAGCGAAGACGATCCCTTGATTGTAGCCACTTTCTTTGCCAGACTACTATCTTCACAGCTTACCTCAAAAGTCAAAAGTAATCGTTGGCAAGGCAGCAGGTACAACGTACTTTGTCTTTGGGCCTTGCGACAGAATTTTAGGAATGCCCAGATATTCTTTTGGAATAACTGCTGGGCACCAAATCAGAACCAGGAACAATTGATTCATAATTTTTGAAAGGATTTGTCTAAAAAGGCATATACGCTGAAGGCTCGTTAAAATGTTTTTCAAGTTTTAATTTTTTGAGAATGTAAAATCAACTATAGAAAGCATATAAATATAAGATCGAGTAATAATTGTAAATATATACACGCACGCATGTGATAAATTAGGTATGATTTAAGTACATTCATAAGCATCCATTAATATCCCTCATTTTTAAAAATCAGGTATGAAGGATCATTAATTGTCAATAATAATATCTTTTCACTTGATTAACACCAAATTCATTTATGTACCTTCTTTTCGTTTTCTTGGCCAACCATATGATGATTGGACCAAAGAAAATGCTTGCTCTACTCATGGGATACACAGTAACAATAGTACTAAAAGTCAAGAACAAGTTAGAACTTAAAAACGTGTTTGGCACATGGGATTGTCATTCACTAAGCTAATAATATCGAACAGTGAATGGAATGGAATCAACCGCGGCCCAAGTCAACGTCAACCCTTCTTGTACGTTAATTTTAAGTCAGTCAAAGTCGTCCCTTGATCGGCAACTATACCAAAAAAATGCAGCTATTATCCACGAAGAAAGTCATTCAATAAGCAAGTCTACTCTGAGATTATCCAAAAAAAAAAAAAAATACTAGTTCACACGACATATTAATCATCATTTAAGTAGACAAAGTCTCATAATTTAATATTATTACTAATTATTATTATTATTATGACTACTGGCAACTTGTTAAGGCCATGTACTATAAGAGCTCGTCCAGCTCTATTTCTATTAGCCACTTGTTAGTTGACTTTTTAAGTAATAACAAACAGCCCCAACTCGAAAATCAAAAGATAATTCCTCTCCCCACCAACTTCTTTTAGCCTATTGTAATCGTGGCATGGTTCAAACTCGCGGTCGCGGTCCGGATCGTTCTATATTGATCTCGACATATCGGTTATGATTTCGGTGAGACGCAAATTTTGAAACATTTAATATTCTAAAAATTGTGAATAATATTCAAAAATATGCTAAACAAAAATAATAAAAAAATCAGCAAAAGAAGATCTGTAAAATGTAAATTTGTGAGTTGATTCGGGATAACTCGGACCGACTCGATCGAGACTATCTGTATCGAAAACTTTTCGACCGAGTTCTCAGTGACTCAACTGAGTTCTCGACGAGTCAAATATTTTGAAATTATCTCGTCCAAATATCGTATTGGAGGGATCCGTTTCGGTGACGATTCGGCCAAGTCGTCTCAGTTTCGACGGAGAATTTGAACCATGATTGTAATTTCTTCCCCGTTGCCAAAGCAATAGTGCAGAAGGAATATATTGCTTTAATTCTTCTTAATTTATGACAGACTAGCAACAATTCAACATTCACACTAGGTCCTTTACTGGAGCGACTTAGCATTAGCTATCAAGAACTAGCAAGAATATCTACTAATCGAGCTATACTTCAAGCTTCTCCACCACCTTTAAAACCTCTTTCTCTGCATAAGGAAAGAGAGCGTCGAGCTAATTATGGGACGTCCAGATGCAAATTCAGGTCCTTCTCAGCGAGGTGGACAACACCAACAGCCTCAAGAATATCATTTTCAGCCTGCAACTCAGAGTCCTGAAACCATTGATGATGCACCTCCTCCATTTGAAACATCCAATGATGAAATTCATCAGGAAAATTATGAACATGAGCAAACCCAGAAAGAAGAAATTGCCGGCCAGCAAAACCAACATGCACAATCCCATCCAACGCCATCAAGAGGACCAATGGCATTCCCACCGCAAAACACCCAAATGAGGTCATCTCCAACTGGTCATCAACCACAAGCATTTCCTCCAACTCAAGATCAAACCCAAGCCTTTCCTCCACCTCAAGGCAAACCTCAAGCCTTCCCTCCATCTCAAGATCATCAACCAGAAGCATTTCCTCCATCTCAGGGTCATCAACCGCAGGCCTTTCCTCCACCTCAAGATCATCAGCCACAAGCATTTCCACCGGCTCAAGGTCATCAACCGCAAGCATTTCCTCCATCTCAGGGTCATCAACCGCAAGCATTTCCTCCACCTCAGGGCCAGCCACAGGCATTTCCTCCGCAACAGAGTGCATTTCAGCAACCAAACATGGCGCAATTTCCACAAGCTGCAACCTTTTCTCAGCCAGCAATGGGTGTAGGTGGACAGGTTCCAATACATCAGGCGATGCCGAATTCTCCATTAGTTCATCCCCATGCTCAGGTCATCAATAATACCCCTATGACTGGCTTTCCAGTGGCTCAAGTTCTTCCTACTCAGCCTTGGAAGACAGCCTTGTTCGCGTGCATGGATGATCCAACAAATGGTATTTAATCTCTTTCTCCCTTTCCCCGGGCATTTGAAGTAGAGTAGCATAAAATCTTCAATATTGGTTAAGCCAAAATTGCTTTTTTTTTTTTTTAATGTTACAGGTGAATTAAAATTCATATGTTGAATGTGTAAAAGCTAGGAAATGGACAGGTTGTTAAATTTGAAATTGATCCAATCTTATGGATTTCTTTCTTTTGTTATTGCTAAGGAGAAGAGAAATGGTAACTTCAACCATTAACCCTTCTCTAGTTGATATTACCTCTTTCAAAAAGTATAAAATTAGAAGAAGAAAAAAATCCATAATATTGAAAACATGCATGAAGATGGACCATCTTGGCATTTCTTTAATTCATATTGTTTCAAGACGCGTATTTATGCTATTCTTTTCTTTTTCCAAGCAGTACTTAATTTGTTCAAGAGTGTATGTCTCAAAAATCATGAAACTGATGTTGAAGAGAAGGAACTAATGAGTGAAATATTTGCCTTTCAGCTCTTATAACAGCCTGCTTTCCTTGCGTGACATTCGGGCAAATAGCTGAGATTGTCGACTCTGGCCAAACCTGTGAGTATACCAATTTTCATCTGTGTATATACTCTCCACATTCATAGCTTAGTAATAATGCTACGTTGAATTATTTCGTGGATCGATTTACATATGGAGTAATTTTTCCTCCACCAACAATATATACACACTGGCTGGTTGGATGTACAACACAATATATATGAAGTTTGATTTTGAAGTCAAAGTATTGTATGTGTCACATGCATATAAGCCCTCAAGTGTATATAATATTGGTGTAGTAAATTTTTATCCTTTAGACAGATGTCTCGTAAAATATACTCATGTATGTTGGGTACATCATTTTCAGCTTGTGGTACCAGTGGAATGCTGTATGGCTTGATTGCCTGCTTCATAGCCATGCCATGCTTATTGTCATGCACCTACAGAACAAAGCTCAGGAATCGATATGGGCTAATGGAAGCACCCGCACCTGACTGGATGATTCACTGCTTTTGTGAATGGTGTGCCCTTTGTCAAGAATACAGGGAGCTTAAAGAAAGAAATCTTGATCCTTCTATTGGTAAGTCATCAACATCAAAAGTTTCAATCTTTCAATGGCCTAAAATCAAGTTATAGACTCTGGTTCGTTGGTAATAGTTTGCAATGAGAAAGTTGAAGTTGATTGTCCCACATTGAAAGAGAACACCTTAGACGACCTTGGGGCTTTCTGATTAGGGTAGGGTGTTAATTAATTGTCTAAAATATTTATTTTAGATAATTAATTAGAGGTGGTTAATGACAGTTACATTTGACAGGCACACCTATTAAATGGTTAACTACCTATATACCTATTCAATAAGGATTGTATCCTTTGACAGTGTCTTGGACAGGTGTTTCAATTCTTTAAAATAGTAGGACTTTGACAGAATTAAATCACTTTTTGATT